TTTATATATATATATATATATTTATATATATATATATATATATATATATATATATATATATATATATATATATATATTTATATATATATATATATATATATATATATATATATATATATATATATATTTATATATATATATATATATATATATATATATATATATATATATATATGTATATATATATATGTATATATATATATATGTATATATATATATGTATATATATATATATATATATATATATATATATATATATATATATATATATATATATATATATTGTGACAATACAGTGGTGCTTTTATAGTTATATTGTCGAAAAAATTATAATATTTAATGATAAAGAGAAAAAGAAACTGTGAAACACAATATTCAGCAAAGGAAAATACAATGAACTTGCAAAAATGGAAAAGAAATACTTCAGTCAAAAATGATTATACATTTTTGCCGCAAAAAAAACGTCTGTGTGCAATCCTCATGATTAATATTTCAGGTAATCACACCCCACATTTTCCCCTCGCCTCCCCTTTCTTCACCTCTCCTCTCGCGTCCCCTCTTCTTCCCTTTCTTCACCTCCTCTCTTCTCATTTCTTTGACCTTTCTCGCTTCCCCTCTCCTTCCCTTGCCCCACACCCCCTTTTTTCGCTTTCCCTCTCCTTTCCTCTGCTTCCCTCGCCTCCCCTCCCTTCTCCTCCCTCTTCTTCCTTTGCTTCCGCTTTCCTCACCTTTATTACCCTTTTTTTATTTTTCTTGCCCCTCCTCGCCTCCCATCTCCTTCCCTCGCCTCCCCTCTCTTTCCCTTTCTCCTTCTCCCTTCTCTTTCCCTCTCTCCGCCTCCCGTTGCCTTCATTTTCCTTTCTTCCCTACTCCTTCCCGATTTCAGTTTCATCCCCACTCCTCCCCTCTCCTCACCTCCCCTCCTCTCTCCTCCCCTCTCCTCTCTTTTCCTCTCCTCCTCTCTCCTTCCCTCCTCCCCTCTCCTCTCACTTTACATCCCCTCTCCTTCCCTCTTTCTCTCCCCCCTCTCCTTCCTTCACCTTCGTTCCTCCCCTCTCCTCCTCTCACCACTCCTCCTCTCCTCTCCTCCCCTCTTTCCCTCCTCTCCCCTCTCCTTCCCTCTCCTCTCCTTTCCTTCTCCATTTACCTCTTCTCCCCTCTCCATCCCTCTTTCCCTCTCCTTCCTTCTCCCTCCCTTCTTCCCTCTCCTTCCCTCTCCCTCCTTCTCCATCCCTCTTTCCCTCTCCTTCCCTTTCTCCTTTCCTTCTCACCACCTCTCCCTGCTCCCGAGGGACCCGACGCAATCTGCAAAGTCGGAAGCGGCGTAAAAAGCTGAATGATGAACCACGCAGTTGACGTTCGTTCGTGCGTTCGGTCTGTCGGTCTGTCAGTCGGTCGGTCGGTCGGTCGTTAATCGTTAAAGGTAAAAATAAGTCTTTAAACGAATGATGAGCCACTGATGAGTCTAAGGTAAAGATATAGATTCTTAAAGGTAAAGATAGTCTTAAATATTGTAATACTGATTCTTAAATATAGAGATGAAGATTCTTAAAGAAAAGATAAAGGTTCTTAAAGAGAAATAAAGATTTTCAAAGATAAAGATAGTCTTAAATATTAGTAATACTGATTCTTAAAGATAGAGAAGAAGTTTCTTAAAGAGAAATGTAAAGGTAAAGGCTCTTAAAGATAAAAATAAAAGACGCTTGAAGATGTAGATAAAGATTCTGAAATATAGAAATAAAAATTCTCAAAGATGAAAATAGAGACACTTCAAGACAGAAATATAGATTCTAAAAGAGGAAGAGCAAGATGAAGATTCCTAAAGTTGGAAATAATGATTCTTAAAGATCCTCGTGTGTCTAAGGAAGGCGAGATGTAAGTATTTGAATTTCCCTCCACTCGGCAGGCGACACGTGGGCTAAGAATCGACAAAGATAAGGAGGAGACGGCGCCCGCTGAACCCTCCACGCGCTTACCTGCATCGTGTAATTACCTTATTTAATGCGTAATTAACTCCGGAGGGCTTAAACGCAGCGTACCGTTAGGATCCCGATGCCCACATGAACGCACCGCCGCACAGCTTCTGTCACACGCAGATGGAATCGGTTAATTAGACAGAGACGCGCGGAATAATTTTTTTACGCATAATAAACAGGATTGTGGAGTCGGAGCCTTCAGGAGCGACGTCTGAAGTGTAGGTTTCAGCGGGATGATGGCTTTAGGAAGATTGTGATGTTTGTTTATGGAAGGGGACGTGTGTTTGTTTCGAGTTTTGATTCTGTGATTTTGGTGTAGATTGGGTGATGAGTGGCATGCGAAGAGGAAACAGCCAGAATGAGAAATGGAATTAGTTCGTGGCATATAATTGTGTTTCCTTCGTTTCATCTGCTCGTTATGTTTACTTTCCGTGCCAAGATTTGGAATAGATGCGAAAGCGGTTTTGTAATGTCTGGTCTCGCAGATACGCAATAGTTAGTATATTTGATACGTGACAGAATTAATTCCACGTGATGATATGCCTCTGTGTTGCTTTATTGTTATTTATTTCATTGTAGCGGGAGAGCAACATTGGACTCTGCTGAATATGAGCTCATAATCATGCCATCCTTCAATGTACGTTATTTTTATTTGAAATGCACGTTGGTTAATGTTTGTCTCGCGACTAAAATGCCCTCTTCTCCCTTTCAGGATGACATGATACCACGGCAGAGTCAAGAATGGAATGTTACCAAAATGGCGGAACGTCGTCGTTACAGCTGTCCGCCACCAACCTGCCCCCACCGCTGACGCGCACCTCCCAGGCCTCCAGCAACCCCTCCTCCCGGCTCTCCTCGCCCCACGATCCTTCGCAGCGGCTCTCGCCCCAGGACGCTAGCTCGCCCCTGTCGTTCCGCGAGATCCCGCGCTGCCCCGGGAGTCATGAGGCGTCTCCCCGCCTGTCGCCGCAGCGGGGCGCCGCGCGGCTGTCCTTCCACGAGGGCGCGCCCATCAGGCTGTCGTCCCACGAGGGCGGCCCTCGCATGTCCCCTCGGGAGTACTCGTCGCGCCTCTCGCACGAGTCGCTCCCCCGCCTGTCGCCCCACGAGCCGGTAGCTCGCCACCTGCCCCATGCGCCGGGGACCCTGCATCTCTCTCCCCACGAGCACGGGCGCCGCCTGTCTCCTCACGAAGGGCCGCCCCGCATGTCCCCGCAGGAGCAGCACGCACACCGGATGTCGCCTCACGACCCCTCCCCACACATGTCGCCCCAGGAGCACGCGCACCGGTCGTCGCCCCAGGAGCACGCGTATCGGATGTCCTCCCAGGAGCACATCCATCGGATGTCGCCCCAGGAGCACGCACACCGGGCGTCGCCCCGGGACTCGTCCTCCCGCCTGTCCTCCCGCGAGTCGTCGCCGCGCCAGTCGCCCCGGGACCAAAGCCCGCGCTCGTCCGTGCACGAAGCGGGCCCCCTCCTCCCTCCCCACGACCCCCTGCCGCGCCGCCTGTCCCGCGAGTCGGTGTCGCAGCTGCTGATCCACGAGCCGCTGCCCCGCATCGCCTCGCACGAGTGTGTCCCGCGCGTGGCGTCCCGCGAGTCCCCGGCCGGAGCGGCGCCCCACGAGCCCCGCTGCGGCCTCGTCCACTCGTCCAGCCGCTCCTCCGCTGCCTACCCTTCGTCGGACGGCCTCGCCAACCACCAGGCGACCCCGCACGCCAGCCCCGAGTCGCCCCGCCTCTCGCGGCGGGAGACCGACCTGTCCCTCAACCACGTGCGGCTGCAGGAGACGTACATCAACGTGGAGACCCTAGAGGAGCGGGAGGCCGAGAAGCAGCTCTCGCAGGCGTGGAAGAGGAAACGAAGACGGTCCGTGGAAGCCACCATACCCGAGTACCTGAAGTCAGCGCCGCTCAAGCGCGTCACTCACCAGCTGGAGGAGAGCGTCCTCCTCAACTTCCTCACTACCATCACGGAGGCTGTCCTCACCTGCGTCATCAGCGTGCCTCTCAGCCTCGCCTTGCTCCTGGCGTTGCCCTTCGCCGTCGTGGTCAAGGCCTTGGGCGCCCTGTGCCAGGCCTCCGGCTGCCGCGGCTGCAAGACGTGTCACCACGAGTATCTAGCGCCCCACGACGCACAGTTCCTCTTGCAAGACATTGATAATCATTCAGTGATCCACAGCGTCCTCATCATTGACGCATCGATGAACCTGAAGCGCATCAAGCAGCTCCTCGCGTCCCGGGTGGTCGAAGCCAAGAACGGCGCCGGCGGACTCATGTATCCGCGCCTCACGCAGATGGTGTCGCAGGTGCCGGGGGGGCCCGCCTGGGTGCAGGACCACAACTTCAACCTGCACAACCACGTGTTCTCGGGCCCCTCCATAACCACGGAGGAAGCCCTCCAGAAGTACGTCAGTTCCCTCTTGTCGCAGCCGCTACCGCCGTCGCGGCCGCTGTGGGAAGTCATCGTCCTGCATGACTACGGACGGAGCCACGATACGGTGCTGGTGTGCCGCCTCCACCAATGCATCTCCGACGGCATGTCGCTGGTACGCGTGCTGTGCCAGTCCCTCTCCGACAACCAGATCATGCACATCCCGCAGAAGCCTCATTTCGGCGGCATGACCTACGGCATGAACCTGATCAAGGCAGCGCTGGTGGGGCCGCTGACGACGCTCACGTGGCTGTGGTGGTGGCGGCCGGAGCTCAACCCCCTCACGGTGAAGCGAGGGGCGGCCAAGCCACGCCCGCGCGTCGCCCGGAGCGGCAGAGCGTCATGCTGCGGCTGCAACCGCGAGATCGCGTCCAGCAGCTCGAGCGACGGCGGCGCCTACACCGTGTGGGGCGAGGACGGCGGCGACGGCCAGCTGGTGCTGTGGTCGGCCGGCGTCTCCATGAACCGGGTGGTGCGCATCAAGCAGGTCACCAGGACGTGTCTCAACGACGTCCTCCTGGCCGCTCTCTCAGGGGCGCTCAGGGTCACCATGCAGCGGCAGGGCGTGCTGCACCCGCCGGACCTCAAGGTACGTGCTCCGCCTGCCTCGCATGACAATACGGGCCTACATGCCCAATATAATGAGCTCCGAGAATGGTATCGCATTCGGCTCGAACAAAGAAAACGGAAATTGATAATCATCATATTCACGGCCTTGAAAAAGCAGCAACAAAGAGCATTGTTTCAGAAACAATTACAACAAAAAATCCCTCCATATTTCCCCTCCCCGTCCTACAAATGAGTATAAGATATCATGAAACAGTTATAATATACACACTGATGGTTCGACGCGGGGTGGGTGGGGAGGAGGCCGGGGGTAGAGGGGAGAGAGAGAGGGGAGGAAGGACGGAGAGGGGAGAGGGAGAGGGGAGAGGGAGGAGGGATCGCAGGCAGAGAGGGAAGAGGGAAGAGGGAGCTGAGAGGGGAGAGGCAGGAGGGATAGAGGGAACTGAGAGCTCTTCTTTGGCGCAGGTTCTGAATGGGCTTTGTACCTCCTGCATGGTGATTCTTTATTGTTATTGAATACTGGAACCGGGAGATAAGAATAAGGAATGACGGAGAGGAGGCAGGAGGGAGAGAAAGGAGACGAAGAGAAAACTTTCTCGGGCTCTGTTCTCTTATTTCTTCTCCTTACTTTCCTTCTTACGCCTTCCTCCTCTGCGGGTTGTTCCTTCCTTCCCTCCCACGTGTTTGATGCTTTTTCCTTCTCTTCCAGTTCTTCTCCTTCCTCCTCCTCCTCCTCCTACTTCTCCTTCTCTTGTTTTCTCTCATCTCTTCCTTCTCTTCTTCTTCCCCTTCTTCCTTTTCCTCTTCCTCTTCCTCTTCCTCCTCCACCTCCTTCTCCCTTTCCAATTTCTCTATTTCCTCCTCCCCCTCCTCCTTCTTCTTCTCCTTCTCTTTCTCTTCCTCCTTCTCTTCCTTCTTCTCTTTCTCCTCCTCCTCCTCCTCCTCTCTTCTCCCTTCTTCTTCTCCTACTCCTATCTTATCCTATCCTTCACCATCAACAACTCCTCTTCCTCCTTTTCCTCCCTCTGTTACTCTTCCTTTACCACCTCCTCCTCTTCCTCCTCTTCCACCTCCACCACCCCATCCTCTTCCTCCTCTTCCACCTCCACCACCCCCTCCTCTTCCTCCTCTTCCACCTCCACCACCTCCTCCTCTTCCTCCTCTTCCACCTCCACCTCCCCTCTTCCACCTCCACCTCCCCTCTTCCACCTCCACCTCCCCTCTTCCACCTCCACCTCCCCTCTTCCACCTCCACCTCCCCTCTTCCACCTCCACCTCCCCTCTTCCACCTCCACCTCCCCTCTTCCACCTCCACCTCCCCTCTTCCACCTCCACCTCCCCTCTTCCACCTCCACCTCCACCTTTTCCACTTCTCCACTTCCTCCACCTTCCCTCTTCCACCTCCACATCCCCTCTTCCACCTCCACCTTTTCCACTTCTCCACCTCCACCTCTTCCACCTCCCTTCTTCCACCTCCTCCACCTCCCCTCTTCCACCTCCACCTCTTCCACTTCCGCCTCTTCCACCTCCTCCACCTCCACCTCTACATCCCCTCTTCCGCCTACACCTCTTCCACCTTCACCTCCACCTCCTCCACATCCCCTCTTCCGCCTCCACCTCTTCTACCTCCACCTCCTCCGCCTCTTCCACTTCTCCACCTCTTCCACCTCCACCTCCTCCACATCCCCTCTTCCACCTCCACCTCCACCTCCCGTCTTCTACCTCTTCCACCTCCACCTCCTCCACCTTTTCCACTTCTCCACCTCCACACAACCCCAGGAAAGCGAGACGCGATATCCTGCGATCCCTTTAAGTTGGAAAACAGGCCGGTTCCTCGAGAGTCTTCCTTTAGCTGTTTTTTTCTTTCTTTTTTTCTCTGTTTCTTTGTTTCTTTTCTTTTCTTTATTTATTTTTCTCTCTTTTTTCTCTCTATCATTATGTTTTTTTTTTTTCTCTCTCTTTCTCTGCCTCTTCCTTTCTTTTTTCCTTCTTTATTTCCTTCTTTCTTTCCTTTCTCCCTTCTTTCTCACCTTTCCTCCTCCCTTCCCTCCTTCCTTATCCCCTTCGCACCAGCTTCATTTCTTTCTCTTTGTTTCTTTCTCTCTTTCTCAGTTCGTATTTTTATTCGTTTTATTCACCTTCATATCCTCCTCCTCCTCCTCCTTTTCCTCCTCCATTTCCTCCTTCTCCTTTTCCTCCTCCTCCTCCTCCTCCTCCTCCTTTTCCTCCTCCATCTCCTCCACCCCCTCCTCCTCCTCCTCCTCCTTCTTTTCCTCGTCCATCTCCTCCTCCAACTTCTGTTTCTCCACCTCCACTTCCTTCTCCTCCTTCTCCTTCTCCTTCTCCATTTCCTCCTCCTCTTCCTGCGCATAATCTTAGGAAGCAAGACGCGATATCCTGCGATCCTTTTAAGCTGGACTCCCTCCCCCTCACCCCCACTCCCCCACTCACCTCCATTCCCCACCCCAATCCCCACCCCAATCTCGCCCCCTCACGCCCACGGAACGAAGGACAGGAGAACGAGGCGAGAGAGAGAGAGAGAGAGAGAGAGAGAGAGAGAGAGAGAGAGAGAGAGAGAGAGAGAGAGAGAGAGAGGATGGGGGGAGAAAAAGAGAGAGAGAGAGAGAGAGAGAGATGGTTGGAGAAAGAGAGAGAGAGGGAGAGAGAGAGAGAGAGAGAGAGAGAGAGAGAGAGAGAGATCAGTGAGAAGGGATTAAGAGGAAGTGGATGGGAAAGATTATGAATTCCTGTCGATTTGGAGGTAGAGAGCGAAGGAGGAGGAGGGTGAGGGAGGAAGGGAGGAGGGAGGGAGGGAGGGAGGGAAGGAAGGAGGGAGGAAGGGAAGGAAAGAGGGAGGGAGGAGGAGGAGGAGGAGGAAGGAAGGAAGGAAGGAAGGAAGGAGGAAGGGAAGGAGAGAGGGGGGAGGGAGGAAAGGAAGGAAGGAGGAGGGAGGGAGAGAGGGGGGGAAGGAAGGAATGGAAGGGACGGGGGGAAGGAAGGAATGGAAAGGAGGGAGGAGGAAGAAGGAAGGGAGGGAGGAAGGAAGAAGAAGGGAGGGAGGAAGGAGGAAGGGAACGAGAGAGGAAGGCAGGGAGGAGGAGGAAGGGAGAGAGGAGAAGGAGGAAGGAAAGAAGGAAGGAAGAAAGTAGAAGCGGTGGAGGGGATGGTAAGGGACAAAGAAAGATGGAGAACGGAGGAGATGGAAGGAAAACGAAATAAATAGGATAGGACGTGCGACGGAATAACAAAGAACGTTTAGCGAATGTGTGGAACAGAGAGAATGGAGGATAAATGCGTATTATGCGAAAACTGGAAAGGCGAAGAAAACAGTGATATTAGTGTCTAACAAAGAACAATTGGTAACCCATAATTAAGAGAGGAAAAACATTTTATCTGAAGAAATATTCAAGCCACGGGACTAAGAAATAGCTAAATCTCACGCGAAAAAGAAACTAAGAAAAGAAAGGAGAGAGAGAGAGAGAGAGAGAGAGAGAGAGAGAGAGAGAGAGAGAGAGAGAGAGAGAGAGAGAGAGAGAGAGAGAGAGAGAGAAAGTGAGTGAGTGAGAGAAAGTGAGTGAGTGAGAGAAAGTGGGTGAGTGAGAGTGAGAAAGAGAGAGTGAGAAAGGGAGAGAGAGAGAGAGAGAGAGAGAAAGTGAGTGAGTGAGAGAAAGTGGGTGAGTGAGAGTGAGAAAGAGAGAGAGAGAGAGTGAGAGTGAGAGAGAAAGAGAGAGAGAGGGAGAAAGAGAGAGGGAAAAACATAACTAGCGTTAACAAGAACTTAACGGTACTTAGCCGGACTCATGAAACTCCGAACAACTTCTGCATCGTAACGTAACTTAACCTAAATTACCTCAAGGATCTTGAAACGTGTATTGCGTATCATATAATTTATATAACCCAACGTAACTCCACGTAACATGGATTAAACGTAACGTAACCACAACTTTAACTCTTAACTTCCGAACCCGTAACGCACTTTTTTTTTCCCGCCAAGAACTTTCTCATCTCCCCCCTTCCTCCCCCCTCCCCCCCTCCTCCCACTTCCTCCCACTTCCTCCCCCTCCTTTTCCTCCCTCCCCCCTTCCTCCCTCCTCCCCCCTCCCCCTTCCTCCCCCTTCCCCCCTCCCCCTTCCCCCCTCCCTCCTCCCCCCTCCCTCCTCCCCCTTCCCCCTCCCTCCTCCCCCTTCCCCCCCTCCCTCCTCCCTTTCTTCCTCCCCTTCCTCCTCCTCCTCTTCCTCCCCCTCCTCTCCCTTCCTCCCCCTTCCCCTTCTTCCCCCTTCCTCCCCTTCCACCTCCCCCTTCCTCCCCCAAAGGAAACCGTTAAAGATGTGATCACCGTTGTATGTCGTTGAAAAAGAGAGCATCGTATGTTACCGGGTTTATCAAGCGGCGCGTAATGGAAGCCCTCCCGCCCACACCCACGGTCGGGTTTTGCTTTATCGACTTTTTTTTTTTAAGTGGGGGGTTTGTAGATGGTTCGAGAGGGTTCTGAGTGGTTCTAGATGGTTCTGAGTGGGTCTAGGTGGTTCGAGAGGGTTCTGAGTGGGTCTAGGTGGTTCGAGAGGGTTCTGAGTGATTCGAGAGGGTTCCAGATGGTTCGAGATTTTTTTTTGGGGGGGGAGGGGGAGGGTCTGCGATGTTCTGGACGATTCGAGGTGGCTCTACGAGGTTCTAGGTGGTTCTTGGCGGTTCTGGGAGGTTCTAAGAGATCCTTGGTGGATTCTGGGGGGTTCGAGGCGGTTCTGGGCAGTTGGAAGTGGTTCGAGGCGGTTCTAGGTAGTGGTACGGTTCAGAACGGTTCGAGTCATTGCCAGACGGTTCTAGGCAGTTCCAGGTAATTCTAGAGGGTTCTAGGCGGTTCTAGGCAATTCGAGGCGGTTGTGAGTGGTTCACTGCGATTTCAGGTGGTTCAAGGCGAGGTTCAAGGCGAGGTTCGAGACTTTTCCGTGGGGGCGACATCGAAGGCGGTGGAAGAAATATATATATTGGGGAAGGACCGTGTGATAAGAATGGATGTGAAAA